TCCAACCTACCAAACATGACATCCTTCTCCAGTGATTGTTCCCTCCTGACAATATGTCCGAAGTATGAGAGACGATGTTTGGCCATTCTGGCCTCCAAGGAGCACTCTGGCTGCGATTCTTCCAACATGGATATGTTTGTTCTTTAGGCAGCCCGTAGCACGTTCAATATTCTCCTCCAACATCATGATTCAAATGTGTCAATTCTTCTACACTCTTCCTTATTCAGTGTCCAGCTTTTGCATGCATATGAGGTTATTAAAAATACCATGGCCTGAATCAGGACACCTTAGTCCTCAAGCTGACATCTTTGCTCTTCAACACATTAAAAAGGTCTTGTGCAGCAGATTTGCCTTATGCAATATGTCGTTTGATTTCTTGACTGCTGCTTCCATGAGTGTTAATAGTTGATCCAAGAAGAATGAAAGTCCTTGACAACTTCAGTCTTTTCTCGATTGATAAGAATGTTGTTTATTGGTCCAGTGGTGAGGATTTTTGTTTTCTTTACATTGAGATGTAATCCATACCAAAGGCTGTGCTCTTTGATCTTCATCAGTAAATGTTTTAAGTCCTCTTCACTTCCAGCAAGCAAGGTCGTATCATCTGCATATCGCAGGTTGTTCCGGAGTCTTCCTTCAATACTGATGCCACATTTTTCTGCATATAACCCAGATTCTTGGATTATTTGCTCATCATACAGGTTGAATAAGTATGGTGAAAGAATACAACCCTGTTGCACACCTTTCTTAATTTTAAAACATTCAGTGTACCTATGTTCTGCTTGAACAACTGCCTCTTGGTCCATGTACAGATTCCTCATAAGCACAATTAAGTGTTCAGGAATACTCACACTTTGCAATGTTGTCCATAGCTTGTCATGATCCACACAATTGAAAGCCTTTGCATAGTCAATTAAGCATAGGTAAACACCTTTCTCATAGTCTCTGCTTTCAGCCAAGATCCATCGCACATCAGCAATGATATCCCTCATTCCACAGCCTCTTCTGAATCCAGCTTGAACCTCTGGAAGTTCTCTGTCAATGTATGCTTGCAGCCGTTTCTGTATTACTGTTAGTAAAATTTTACTCACATGGGATATCAAGGAAATTGTGCAATGATGTCCACACGTTTCATTGGGTCACCTCCCTTGGAATGGGCACAAACACGGATCTCTTCCAATCAGTCAGCCAGATAGCTGTCTTCCAAATTTCTTGGCATAGATGAATGAGTGCCTCCTGTGCCGCCTCACTTTCTTAAAAAATTTCCATTTTAATCTGACCAATTCCTGGTGTCTTATTCTTTGCCAATTCCTTCAATGCACCTTGGACTTCTTCCTTCAGTATCATTGGCTCTTGATCATATGCTACCTCTTGAAACGGTTGAACATTAACCATTTCCTTTTGGTACAGTGACTCTGTATATTCCTTCCATCTTCTTTTGATGCTTTCTGCATTGTTTAATAATTTGCCCAGAGAATCTTTCAATAACGAAAGTCAAGGCTTGAATTTTTTCTTCAGTTCCCCCAGCTTGAGAAATACTGAGCGTGTTCTTCCTTTTTGGTTTTCTGATTCCAGATCTTTGCATACTTTGTTGTAATATTTGGCTTTATCTTCTTGAGCTGATCTTTAAATTTTTCTGTTCATCTCTTTTACCTCCCCATTTCTTCTATTTGCTTTAGCATCTCCATGTCACTGAAAACCTTATGAAGAGCAAAGAAACACTGAGATAAAGTGTTGGAAAATGAGCCCCTCAGGTTGGAAGGCACTCAAAATCTGACTGGGAAAGAGCTGCCTCCTCAAAGTCGAGTTGACCGTGATGATGCAAATGGAGTAAAGCCCGTGGGAGAAAAGTCCACAGGACCTTCATTTGCTGATAGGGAACAACTCAAAATGAAGAGACACAGCTGTAAACGTCCATTGAAAATTGGAACATGGTATGTACGAAGTATGAATCTGGGAAAATTGGAAGTTGTCAAAAATGAAATGGAACGCATAAACATCGATATCTTAGGCATTAGTGAACTGAAATGGACTGGTATTGGCCATTTTGAATCTCATGACCACATGGTTTACTATGCCAAGAATGACAAATTGAAGAAGATTGGTGTTGCATTCATTGTCAAAAAGAACATATCCAGATCAGTCATGAGGTACAATGCTGTTTGTGATAGGATAATATCCACGCGCCTACAAGGAAGCCCAGTTAATACCATTATTATTCAAATTTATGCACTGACCACTAAAGCCAGTGAGGATGAAATTGAAGAATTTTATCAACTTCTTCAATCTGAAATTGATCAAGCATGCAATCAATATGTATAGATCATTACTGGTGATTGGAATGCAAAGGTTGGGAGCAAAGAGGAAGGATCGGTAGTTGGGAAATATGGCCTTGGTAATAGAAATGATGCTGGATAACACATGATAGAATTCAGCAAAATCAATGATTTGTTAATTTCAAATAACTTCTTTAGACAGCATAAGAGATGACTATACATGTGGACCTCACCTGATGGCATACATAGAAATCAAATTGACTACATCTTTGGAAAGAGATGATAGAAAAGCTCCAAATCATCAGTGAAAACAAGGCCAGGGGCAGACTGTGAAACAGACCATCAATTACTCATATGAAAATTCAAACTGAAATGGAAGAAAATGAAAACAAGTCCACGAGAGTCAAAATATGACATTGAATCTATCCCACCTGAATTTAGTGATCATCTGAAGAACAGATTAGATACATTAAACACTAAAGACCAAAGACCAGAAGAGCTGTGGGATGACATCAAGAACAGCATACAGGAAGAAGGCAAAAAGTCATTAAGAAGACAAGAAAGAAGGAAAAGTTCAAAATGGATGTCAGAAGAGACACTGAAACTTTCTCTCTAGCGTAGAGATGCTAAAGCACATGGAAGAAATGAGGAGGTACAAGATATGAATCTCTAAAGTTAGGTGGCATATATTCAAGGTCATATTTTGACTCTCACTGACTGTTATAATTTTCTTCAGATTCAGCCTGAACTTGCATACGGGCAACTAATGGTTCCACAGTCTGCTCCTTGCCTGTGGGTATGGAGCTTTTGACTGATGATATGGAGCTTTTCCATCATCTTTTTCCACAGATGTAGTCAATTTGATTTGTCTGTCTTCCATCTGGTGATGTCCCTGTGTATAATCACCTTTTATGTTGTTTAAAAGGTACTTGTAATTAAGAAGTCATTGGTCTTTCAAAATTCTATCCTGTGATCTCCAGCATCATTTCCATAACTAAGTCCATATTTTCCCACTACTGATCCTTCCTCTTTGTTTCCAACCTTTGCATTCCAATCGCCCGTAATTATCAATGCATCTTGATTGCATGTTTGATCAATTTCAGACCTAAGAAGTAGATAGAATTTTTCATTTTCATCACCACTGGTGTTAGTGGTTGGTGCATAAATTTGAATAATAGTGGTTTTAACTGGTCTTCCTTGTAGGCATATAGATATTATCCTATCACATACAGCATTGTACTTCATGACTAATCTTGATATATTCTTTTTTATAATGAATGTGACCCCGTTCCTCTTCAATTTGTCATTCCCGGCATAGTAAACCATGTGGTCTTGAGATTCAGAATGGTCAATACCAGTCCTTTTCAGTTCATGCATGCCTAGAATATCAATGTTTATGCATTCAATTTCATTTTTGACAATTCCCAATTTTCCTAGATTCATATTTCATACATTCTGTATTCCAATTATTAATGGATGTTTACAGCTGTTTCTTCTCATGTTGAATTGTGTCCCATCAGCAAATGAAGGCTCCAAAGGCTTTACTTTATTTGCATCATCACGGTCAACTCTACTTTGAGGAGGCAACATTTCCCCAGTCTTCTTTTGAGTGCTTCCAACTTAAGGAGCTTGTCTTCCAGCGCTATATCTGACAGTATTCTGGTGCTCTTCATCATGCTTCAGTATTCAAAATTATAGTTCTGGCAGTGTTCCACTGCTAGTCATAAGGTTTTCAGTATTTGGAAGCAGACCATCTTTTCTTTCTAGTTTGCCTTCGTCTGGAAGCTCAGCTGAAACCTGACCACCATGGGTGACCCTACTGGTATTTCAAATACCTGTGCCATCGCTTCCACAAGCACAGCAACATGTAACCTATGACAGTATGACAAACTGACAGACAAATGGTGGTTTGACTCATAGTGACCTTGTATAGGGTTTCCAAGGCTGTAAATCATTATTGGAGCAGAAAGCCTTATCTTGCTCCTGCGGAGTTCCTGGTAGATTTGAACTACTGACTTTTCAGCTTGTAGCCCAGTTTGTAATCCATTACATTTCCAGGGCTCCTTCCAAAGTACACTTTTTAAAAATAAAATTCTGATATATTTCCTGTGACAATTATTAAGACATGAGATTTTGTATTTGAGATTTTATCTTTCCAGCATAACCTGTGAGCTGTAAAATAAAGAGCCATAGAGCACAGGCTTCAGATCTTTGCTTAGCTTCTTCCTTGGCCACCTTAGCTTCTAAACCTTAGTGTTGTAATCTCTGGAATGGAATAATAATAACACCTAACTCATAGGATTGTATAAGGATCACGAGATCATGTAAAATATTTATCAGAGTACTTGACACATAATAAACCATTAGATTTTTATTGCTTCTGTTTAATACAATCGAGTCCTTTGTGACTCATAGAGATGTTTTCCAAGAAGTGGTTCATGTATTTGAACCACCTACCTTGTGGTTACCAGTCCAGTACTTATCCTACAGTGCCATACCAGGACTCCATGTTGCTGTTGTTGTGTTTGATAAGTGACATTGAGTTGGCTCCCACTCATAGCAACATGTATAGAGTTTCCAAGGAGCAGCTGGTGGGTTTGAACCTCCAACCTATTGTTCACAGTCAGTGTTAATCCAACAACACCACACCAAGAGTCCATGGTAGTTACATTCTTAAAAGCATTTGCTAATTTAACCAACATGTTTATTTTGTTATTTTCATTTTAGTAACTGCAACAGAGAAAGAAAATATGCCATTTGGGAGGCCCCGGGTTATGCAGAAGAATAAGGAACACTGTCTTCTTTACCACAGAGAATATGTGAGTGGATTTGGAAAAGCTTTCAGGATGCCCATGTGGAGCTCATATACAATCCTTAAACCGGTAAGTTTCTGAGTTCATTGTTCGTGCAGACTGGAAAGAGTATTGTTGTTGTTATGTGCTGTGGAGTCGGTTCCAACTCATAGCGACCCTGCACAGGTTTCCAAGGCTGTAAATCTTTACGGGAGCAGAAAGCCTCATCTTTCTGCCGCTGAACAGCTGGTAGTTTCGAACTGTTGACCCTGAGGTTAAGCAGCCCCATTTGTAACCACTAAGCTACCAGACCTCGTATTCTAAGAGTTCTTTGATGGCACAAGTGGTTAATGTAGCAACTAAATGGTTGAAGCTTCGAGTCCTTGTAGAGGTGTCTCAGAAAAAAGGCCTGGCAAACTACTTTTGAAAAACCAGCCATTGGAAACCCTTTGGAACACAATTCTTCTCTAACAGATGTGGGATCATCATGAATTGGAATCAGCTTGATGGTAACTGTTTTAATATTCTGAGAGCTAAACTGTGATTTCAGTGAATGTCTCAAAGACAGCTCTCCGACCAGTGACTTGTAAGACAGTATACTGGGTATAATATAAAGGTGTTATGGGGCTTCAGAAAAGTACAACATTGCATTTTGAAGTTTGGAAGTGTTTACATTTCAATTGGCCAGTTGGTAATACTGGTAGAAAATAAGATTTCAAACAGAAGCAACAGGAAATACCAAAGTGCACAATTCATTTGGTATTTCCCAAGTTTCTGGTGGCTATACCTAAAAGGTGATAGTAACTAGATTAAGAAGACTTTGCATTTGATTATTAATTCATTTAACAAGTGCTTTGCTATCTGCAGTGTGCTGCAGTAGGCACAGGAAATACAATGTGAACAAGATCCTAGAAATATTTGTACATGTGTTATGTTGACGATCTCTCCAAATTGAACTCAGGAATCTATCTGTTCAGACTCGGGTCCCTCACCATCATCTGGCAAATGCCTTTCCAATATAATGGGACATCCAACTAAGCATACTTTGAATTGTGGTGTTGAAGGAGAGTATTGAAAGTGCCATGGACTGCCAAAAGAACAAATAGATCCGTTTTGGAAGAAGTGCAGCCAGAGTGCTCCTTAGAGGCCAAGATAACCAAACTTCATCTCTCATACTTTGGATATATTGTCAGGAGGGACCAGTCACTGGAGAAGGATATCATGTTTGGTAAGGTGGAAGGTCAGAGAAAAAGAGGAAGACCCCCAATGAGATGGATTAGCCAAGTGGCAGCATCGATGGACTCAAGCGTGGCAACAATAGTGAGGCTGGCCCAGGATCGGGCAGTGTTTCGTTCTGCTGTGCATAAGGTCACTATGGGTTGGTACCAACTCGATGGCACCTAACAACAACAACTAAGCATAGGGGGTGGGGGGTGGGATAAACTCAAATTATATATCTACATCATGTCATATGGAGTTCCTTGGTAGACCAAATGGTTACCATGCTTGGCTGCTAACCAAGAGGTTGATGGTTCAAGGTCACCCAGAAGTACCTCAGGAGAAAGACCTGGTGGGTTTCTTTCCACAAATCACCTCTGAAAACCCCATGGAGGGAGCACTGTTCTATTTTGATCTCCATGTATTCGTCATGAATTTGAATCAGTTTGATGGCAACCAGTTCATATCATTGTTGTTGTTAAGTGCTGTTAAGTTGGTTCTGACTCATGTTGTTGTTTTTAGAGGCTGTCTAGTCAGTTCCCACTCACAGTGACCGTATGCACACAAAAATGAAACACTGCCTGGTCCTCACAATTATTGTTATGCTGAGCCCATTACTGTTGCCTATTTGCCAATCCATCTCATTGGGGGTCTTCTTTTACGATGATACTCCACTTTACCAAGCATGATGTCCATCTCCAGAGACTGGTTCCTGCTGATAACACGCATGAAATATGCGAGGTGAAGTTTCACCATCCTGACTTCTAAGGAGCATTCTGGTTGTACTTCTTTCAGCACAGATTCATTTGTTCTTCTGGCAGTCCATGGTATTTTCAATATTCCTTTCCGACCCCATAACTCAAATATATCAATTCTTCTACAGTCTTCCTTATTCATTGTCCTACATGCATATAAGGCTATTGAAAATACCATGGCATGGGTCAGGCACAGCTTAGTCCTTAAACTTGATCTTTCATCTTGAACATTTTAAAGAGGTCTTATGGATCTTTCTTCTTGAACATTTTAAAGAGGTCTTATGCAGCAGATTTGCCAAGTGCAAATCTTGATTTGCAAATCATCGCTTGATTTCTTGACTGCTGCTTCCATAAATGTTAATTATAGATCCATCTGAATCATAGAGAACCTGTATAGGGTTTCTGAGAAGCAGCTGGTGGGTTTGAACTGCTGACCTTGTGGTTAGCAGTCTACTGCTTATCATACAGCACCACACCGTACACAAAATTAAATTGCTACTAGATTTATAGGCCTCAACTGACCTCAACAAATCCATATTTTTCTTTCTGCGTGTCTTTATAACATCGGTATAGAGAAGAATTTTAAAGACATAGAAGAAAAAACAGAGGAAACAATAATTTGACTACATTAATGTTGTTGTTAGATGTGATTCATAGCAACCCTATGCACAACAGAACATTAATATTGTTGTTGTTGTTAAGTGCCATCCAGTCAGGTCCAACTCACGGCTACCTTATATAGAGTTTCCGAGGAGTGGCTGGGGAGCTTGAACTGCCAACTTTGCGGTTCAAACTGATCTTGCAGTCTAGTGCATTAACCTGCAGCACCACACCAGGACATGCGACAAAAAGATGGAATTATAGATGGTAAAATATATTTGTATAGCATATAAGAAACAAGTAAGAAAGTGTCCAGAACAGTAACTCTGGTCTAGAAGCCCTAATAAGTATGTACAAAAACAAGATAATGACAGGCATCTTGGTTAATGAGATAAATGGGCAAAGGATATAAACTAAGCAATTGAACCTCGTTAGCTATCAGGGACATATAAATTAAAGCTAAAATCAAAGTCTGCCAAAATTCAACCTGAATTCAAAATTCAATCTGCCAAATTTCAGGGCGGGAGGATATATTTACTGTACCTCTAGCACAGGAAATCCTGGTGTGGCACTGTAAGATCAGCACTGGAGTGTGAACCACAAGGTTTACAAACCTACCAGCTGCTCCATACAGGGTCGCTATGAGTGGGAACCAACTTGATGGCACTTAACAAGAAGAAGAAGCACAGTAGAGATGCTTCTTGTTGTTGTTAAATGCTGATGAATCAATTCCGACTCATAGCGACCCTGTATGAGATTTCCGAGGAGTGGCTGGTGAACTTGAACCACCAACCTTGCAGTTCAAACTGACCTTGCAGTCCAGGGCATTACCCGGAAGCACCACACCAGAGCTACTTAGTAAATGCTTATTGAAGAATGCACTGAATTAATTAATCACAAGCATTATTTTTTTCAAAAAACTTTCAAAGATGAAGCTATTCTTTCAACTGGGAATGTAAATAAATCAGAAGGCTAATCTTGCTGAGATAATCTTAGTATTTTAGATTTAGAGACTCTGACATACCTCTAGCTATTACTGTTCCTGTTGAGGATACAGGTAATCTGCTTATGAAAAAGAAGTAATGGTTGTATCTGAGTTATCTACTCTTCTTGTTATAATTCAAGATTTTTAACAAAAATAAGCATATTGTCCCACTATTATTTAAAGCTCTGACAAGGGTTCAGTTGTGATTACTGATGTTGTTGTTGTTGTTGTGAGGTGCTGATAGCACAGTGCTAATGTTGTTCATATTCCAATGTAGGCAAATATTTCACAGTTACCTGAGTAGCAACATTTCTTTCCTAATGTGCACACCCTTCAATTGTTGGTGATTTTCTTAAGCATGCCATATTTCTTAAAATAATTTGTGTTGTTTTTGTTACTTTTCTTTGTGGAGTGTGTGTGGCACATTTTCAAGGTCTGTCTTGTTATAGCTCATCAGTTCTCTATTGGAAAAGGTCAGGTACAAAGGATTTGTGTGGAGTTAAGGAGAATGTTTATGTTTTTAGTACAGTTCTCTAGTGTCTTGCATTCCTGAATTTATATGAGCTTTGGCAGAAACCGAAGACAGAGAGACTTTAAATGGGGTCACAGACAAACTTTGGTACTATTCTTTTTTGTTATTGTTTTAAAATTTTGTTGCCAAAAAGTTCTTGTCCTTTCACTGATTCCCACAGAACTTCTTGTATACTTCTCCCTCCTGTGACAGGATGGAATTCTAGCAATTTTCTGCTTTCTAATTCAGAAATTACTCAGTTAGTATGTGGTTCATGAAATTACACACAAAGATGTTTTGAGATACACATAAAAATGGTATAAATCAGCTCTGTGTTTGAAAAATCAGACTTTAAATAAGCTCTTCTTGGAACATGGGTCCAATTGGCATGCACCTTAAGTTTTATGGAACTTTTGTTTTTCTGTGGCTTTGGTGGATATTCTAATTTTTGTTGTTATTATCTCAAAAGAGTTCTGAGGAAGTAGCTGTAATTTGAAATCATGGTTTTAAAACAACTGCTTTAAAGCCATTGAGGCTGCTCAAGCTGTATATAGGTTTCTCTTCTGGCCCTTCTTAGTAGGAAAATGTGAAATGTTTCTGTATGTGTGTTGCTAGGTAAATAATTGAAAACAAGATCACGAATTATACTTAGTACCCCTCTCCAAAATTGAAACTTTAAGGGAACACATGAGCAGGAATGTAAGCTTGCTGATGACCATGTTGGTTTACTGGTGAGTGGAAGAGGGGGAACAGCAATGAATATATGGGCTAAGTTCAACCACGTACCATAGACTCCTGTCGGCCTGGATATGAGAGAGAGAAGAGGAAGGGCTGATTGGTCTGATGTCTGGTGAGACTTGGGGACTCCTGAGCCCATGAATAAGGATATATAGCCCATAAATGAAACCCTAGAGCTGAGAGTAATATGTCCCACTAATGTAAAGTGAGGGGAGATGCACAAGAATGCCCAAACTTGTAGATAGTACCCATGTGATGGCTTAATGATCAGAACTCAACAAAAGGAAGACTAAAAACATTTTTTTTTTTTTTTTGATAAAGAGAGGAAGTGTAAATTGCTACAATTTGATGAACCTGACCTATCCTTATGGATGTAGTAGCTCAAAATACCATTTGTGAGGGAAGGAGTCTTTACATCAAGGATGAAGCCTATCCCCTCTGTACATAGGGTTAATAGGGACGGGCAACTTCGACAGTGGCTACCTAAAATGTGGGGGCTATAAAGGGACAAAGTAACTGGCTTGCAAGTTTTCTAGAGGGAGTTTAGTTTAAGTGTGTGGGGGAAGGTAGAATCCCCATTACATAGTTTTCATCTTGTTTAGATGGGTCTAGTGAAAGGAGATGGGGATAAGATTCTTATTATTCAAAATTAGGATTCAAATTGTTATCATGACTAATTGCAACTGTCACAACTGTAAAGGTAGAAGTTTTGTAACAAAAAGGGGAAGTAGTTAATCTTGTAGTCCAGAAACAGAGGACTCTAGGACTACCAAGGGAGAAGAGCATGAGTGGAATGTGAGACCTTACCCAGAGAAGCAGTGACACCAGAGATGGAGGCAGAGATGAACACATGGAAAGATAGAGCAGTTGAGGATTCCAGATTCATGGAAAGAGAAAGACTGAGTGCTGGTGTCCAGGAGGCAGGCTTGCAGAATGTGCCCTTTGGTTGTTTAAATGATTATATATTCCTGAGTGTTTTTGTATACATTCCCCCCACAAACACACACAAAAAAACAAAACAACAACAACAACAACAAAGGGAATAGAAGCAAATACTGTTGAATGATGATGCATGGAGGAGATTATAATCATTGCAATGAAATGATGAGTGTAAAAGCAATTTCTCCCATGTAAATAAATTTTAAAAGATTTACAGCCTCAGAAACCCTATGGAGCAATTCTACTCTGCCTGTAGGGTCACTCTAGAACAGAATCGACTTGACATTAGTGGATAGGTGATAACTGTATAATAAAATAATTTATAATAGTAATAATTTTAATAAAGAATACATTTTTTCTTTCAGAAAAAAAAAAAAAAAAAAAGAATTACAATTAGTGTTTAGGATAAGTACTTCCGAGACTTAATATGGAATCAAAGGCCTTTTCAGAGAAAAAAATCTATTGCACCTTGAAACTGCATATATACCTATATGTATGGAGTCTTGGTGTGGTGCTGTGGGCTAATGCACTGTACTTCAAGGTCAGTGGTTCAAGCTCATCAGCTGCTCCTCAGAAATCCTATACAGAATCACTATGGGTTGGAACTGACTCAACGGCACTTAACAACTTATATACGTATATATGTATATATGCTGGTCCCGCCTGATAATATATCCAAAGTATTACAGATGAAGTCTGAGCATCTAAAGAGCATTCTGGCTGTACTTCTTCCAACACAGATTGGTTTTTTTTTTTTTGGTTTTTTTTTTTACTTTTGGTAGTCCATGGTACTTTTATTATTCTCCTCCAACACTATAACTTAAATATATCAATTCTTCTATGATCTTCCTTATTCACTGTCCAACTTTCACATGCATATGAGGTTATTGAAAATACCCTGGCTTGGATCAGGCAAACCTTAGTCCTCAAGCTGACATTTTTGAACACTTTAAAGAGGTCTTGTGTGTTGCAGACCGTGAAAGACTAGTCAGAGGTTCGAGGCCTAGTTCAATACATAGTTTGATTTCTTGACTGCTGCTTCCATGAGTGTTGATGGTTGATCCAAGCAGCTTTTATTTAGTGTTTTCCAAATGGAGTATATTAGGTGTGCCGATGCTACATGACTTTCCTGGGTCTTCATATCTCACCTGTTCTATACCTCAGCATGATATTTTCCTGCCTATGAATGTAGTATTCAGTATACAGTTGCTATTAATTTCTGAATTGATATCTATTTAGGCACTATAGATAAATTTTGCTTTTAGTTCAAAGCAGTGAATAGATCAAGTAATCTAATTTAATTTATTCTTCTTGTTCATGAATTATATTGAGTTTTGATAAGAAAAATATCTTATGTGTGTTGTTCTTGTTATGTGCCAATGAGTTGGTTCAGACTCATAGTGACCTTGTACAGAGTTTCCAAGGAGCAGATGGTGGGTTTGAATCACTGACTTTGTGCTTTGCAGAGCCACACCAGGAGTGCTATATGTATGGTTAGAGGTCATATACATAAAAATATCTTTGAAAATTTCAAATGAAAGTCAAAATGCTCATTTACCCACAATAACATGCTAATCAAAATATAATGACCATATAATACTGGACTGCACTGGACTGTCTGCTGCAAGTTCAGCGGTTCAAACTCACCAATCACTCCTTGGAAACCCTACACAGGGACACTATGAGTCAGAACTGGCTCAAAGGCATTTAACAACAATAATACCATGCTACCTTAAATACTTTGGTCAGGCAGAACATTTATAGATTGTTTCCTGGTGAATAAATGATAACACTAGTCTTTAAATAGGACAACAAGAAAATTATAGAAAGTCTATTATGTATGAAAAATTATAGAAATAATAACTACTAACCATTTAAATCCCCAAGTAAGATCAGAACCACTACAGCTTTTTAAAATTAATCTTAAATTGATTAGAAATCCTGACTTAGCTGAAGATAGTTCATATCTACATTTTTCAAACAAATTGTGTTTATGTTTTATTTTAAATTATTATTTACAAGTACAACATATATCGCCATATAGAACTTAGATCCTGAAAAGGATCTGGTGCTTAGCAACAGCTCCCATATTCCTGTGCTTTCAATTCAGGCTTTACTCTGAAAATCTTTCTTTCTAAGATGTATTTGATTTGCCCTCCCAGTGTCCCTAACCAAAAGGGAACCACAGAAGAAAACACTTCTTGAAGACAACCATTTCCATTGCTTACGTAGACCTGATTCACTAAGAAAATAGGAAAAGGTTAAATGAAAAACATGCTGGGGAAGTTACAAACCATATAAGGTAATGGGTGAGCCACAACTGTGGGCATAATTTTTTTCTTTCTTTCTTTTCTCTCTTTCAACAGGGAGACACATTGCCTCTTCCTCCCTCTATCCCAGACTGTCTGCGGGCTGATGTCAGGGTCACTCCTTCTGAGAGCCAAAACTGTGCCTTCTATTTAGCAGACAAGAATATCACCCACGGCTTCCTCTACCCTCCTGGTTAGTATAACTCTCTTTTAGAGCAGTAGCTTAGCCAGCCCTCATCAGCTGGATGTGGGCATATGACTTAAACATATATTCCCTACCAAAACAACCTACTTGAGCTAAACCAGCTGCCTGGGAGGCTTCCAATAGTCATGGACTGGCCAGAAGGAGTCCAACCGCTGGAATAAAGTCTAATAAATGGGGCAGTGCGAACCACGGCTCAGCACTAATCAGGCCCAGACATCCAGAAAGTTCGGCAGGTTTAAGTTTAATTTTAAAACTGAGGATTCTTTGGGAAGGGACATAGGCATCTTTTTTAAAAAAACAACAACAACGAACGAAACCACAGTTTTTTTTCTGGCTACTGCCCAGTGAGGCCTGCAAGAAGACTGCAGCTGCGTCTGTGAAGAGACACGAGCCCAGAATCTGGCTTCTCACTTCCGCTGTGTATCCAACAGTTTTCAAGTGTGGATTAAGAAGCTGAATAAACTTTAATTTTTTTTTTTCTTTTAAAAGCATGTCTTTTGGGGAATATCAAAGCCAGTGTAATTTTCCTAAAACTCAAGTGTCTTCCCTGTTTAGCAGGAAGTGCCATCTTCACGAGCTTGTCCAAGACATTTACAACAAGCTCAGTTTCTGGGAATCGGTTTTACTTAGAATATTTTGCTTCAGGTTTTTTCAAACGATGACTAAATATGGTCAATTTAGAAACTTGTAATTTAGAGATTAAAAGACTTATAGTGGGGTGAAAAAAACTTAAGGAAAGCAAGTTGTTGTTGTTGTTATTGCTGTTAAGTACCAGTCGAGTCAGTTCTGGTCCATAGCAACCCTGTATAAGGTTTCCAATGAGTGGCTGGTGAGCTTGAATCGCCAACCTTGCAACTCTAACTGACTTTGCAGTCCAGCGCAGTAACCTACAACGCCACACCGGAACTCCTAAGGACAGCAAGGAGCAGATCTATTTAAAATTCTTAAAGCAGAAGAAAGAAACTGAGATTTAAGTATTGAAAAAGTAATTAGAACTACTAAATTTATGTAAACTGTAAGACTGTTGTTGTTAAAGTGCTTCGAATCAGATCTAATTCATAGTAACCCTGCATAGGGGTGGCTAGAGGGTTTGAAATACTGACCTTGCAGTTAGCAGCTCAGTGCTTATCCTACAGTGTCATACTAGTTGCAACATTTTCATGATAAAAACTTTTAAAATTGGAATTAAAGTTGTATTTGTTAAAACATCAGATATTGGTTAATATAGACATATTTGCCTTTACAAGAAAATGAAATAAATAACTCAGCAACTTTCTTCTTAAAAAATATTAAGAAACTATTACAAGCAAATATTTACATTTATCTGAAAGATAGGCAGTATTATGTTGATTACCTTCCTAGTATAAAAAATTAAAAAGGTTTATTGGAACCTCTTTTCCTTAGAAGGAAAAAAGGGGAATGTGTGTTTCTTTCTCCTTATTTTCTGGTGCTCACCTATATTGGGCTCCGATTTAAGTACTAGTTAAGATACCTACTCAAATGTAGTTTAAATATAAAAAGTATTATGATAAAACATTTATAGGTTTGCACCTCTTAATTCTCACAACAGTTCCATAAGGTAGATACCAGGAGACAAATGAAATATGGGAGGCTCAGGTCCTTTGCTCCTGTGATGCAGGTAAGGGGGCAGAGAAGTTTCCAGCCTGAGCAGCCTAGATGCCGAGCACACATGTCTAACACCAGGAGGGATACATGTTCACCAGTTCTCAGAGTTGGTCATTTGGAGTACTCTTACCAGTCGTCTTTCTTGAGTAAAAACTTATTTTCTTCAGTAAACTTTATTTTGGTGTAATATTATGTATGGTGGTGGTGGTATGCCGTGAAGTTGGTTCCGACTCATAGCGACCCTGCATTGGGTTTCTGAGGCTGTAAATCTTTATGGGAGCAGAAAGCTTCATCTTTCTCTCAGGACAGCTGGTAGTTTCAAACCGCTAGCCTTGCGGCTAGCAGCCCAACTAGTAACCACTATGCTACCAGCACTCCTTAACATTATTTATAAAAACATTATTATTTTGTACAAATAGCTACGCATCATATCCAGTATTGTATAATTTTCTAAGGCTACAGCAACACATTTCCACAGATGTGATTATTTAAAACAACAGAAATGTATTGTTTTACAGAGTCTGAAATCAAGTTATCTTTAGGGTTATGCTTTTTCAGAAAGCTCTCAGGGAAATATCTTTCCTTGTCTCTTCCAGATTCTAGTGGCCCCAGGTGTTTACCTGGCTTGTGTCAGCATCACTCCAATCTGTGTTTCCCTTTTCAAGGAACTTCTATGTTTTTGTTCTTCTTACTCTCCCTCTCCTTTCTCGTATAGCAACATCAGTCATTGAATTTAGAACCCACCCAAATTCAGGATGATATTATCTCAAAACCTAATTTAATTACAAGAGTGAGTAAAAAATTATATACACTCCAGTTATATTAAATTGCCTGTCCATGTCCACAACTGATAACGAATTTAAGCATGCACGTGAAATGATTCTATCAGATAGACAAGTGACAGTAGATTAGGTGGCAAATCAGCCATGGCTCTACCTATGCAATAATCCCTTACAGGCTTGGATTTTGAAATGTCTGTGTGAGAAGGGTACCAAAACATCTCAAGGAAGAACATAAACAGAAGTGTTTGGACATCTGCAAAAATTTTGGACTCATACTCCAAGGAAGGTAAAATTTTCTTAAGAAAACATCATTACTAGTGAGGAGACATGGATTCATCACTGCAAGCTTGAGAGTAAATGAAGGAGTATGGAATGGAAGCATCCTCAATCGCAGACCAAGAAAAAGTTCAAATGTCAACCATCAGCTGGAAAGTTGATGCTTACAGTTTTCTGGGATTCTCAAAGACCAGAATTGGAAAACAATTAGGAAAAAAGATTCAACAATCAATAATGGTTGCTGTAGCGAGATGCTCACTGAAGAGCTGAAGCCTAAACCTTGTATTAAACATAGAGGACTGCTATTCAGGGGAATTATAATCTTGCATGACAATGTACCTCCACACACCTCTGCCCACACTGTTGACACTCTGCAAAACCTTCATCTTCAGGTGTTAAAACATTGTCCCTATAGTCTTGATCTTGCTCCATCAAACTTTCACCTGTTTGGTCTCCTGGAAACAGCTCTTCGAGGACAAAGATTCACCTCTGATGAAGTAAAGACACTAGTGCATTTGTGGCTTTCAGGTCAGCCTAAAACATTTTTGAATAAGGGAATCCAAAAGCTTTTTGACAAATGGATAAAGTGTATTGAAAAGCAAGAAGATTATGTCGAAAAATGGCATATTTGTTTTTTCTAAAAGTTGATTAACAAATTCTACAACCAGAGTGTGGATAATTTTTTAATCACTCTCATACATCTGCAAACACTCTACTCCCAAGTAAGGTGACATTGACAGGTACCAGAAATTAGAACACAAACAGGTATCAATGCCTGAATTTTTGATGACCTTTGCTGAAAAGTAGTATCTCTGTATCTTGATTGTTGATAAATTTACATTTGTATGGAGTAGAAATAGACCTTTTATCAGTATATTGCATTTTCTCTTATAGCTTAAAAAGATTTCATTTGTTTTACAGCAAACAACAGAACTTCTGAAAGTCAATATGATGCTTTAATTACAAGTAATTTGGTCCCTATGTATGAAGAATTCAAAAGTAAGTATACATTTAAATTATTGTCTTTTAAATGACTGATTCCATGAACTTCCAAATTACACACATCATTTGCTGCAATTTATTCCTGGTAGTTAGAACTATTTTGTTCTAGTGTTTTAGGTATAGATACAGGAAGGATAACTAGCATAACTTCTTTTAAACTTACTTCAATTTAGGCTGACTTGTTGCTATAATTCTGATCATTTGCTTTTGATCCCTAATTTAACTGTCTACCTCTCATCTGTCAGTTTGTTGTACTGTGGTGGCTCATATGTTGCTGTGATGCTGGAAGCTATGCCACCAGTATTTCAAATACCAACAGGGTCACCCGTGGTTGATAGGGTTCACTGGAGCTTTCAGATTAAGACAGATTATGAAGAAGGACCTGGTGATATATTTCTGAAAGAAAGAAACAAACAAATAAAAAGGCCAGTAAAAACCTTATAAATGGCAGCAGAGCATTGTCTAATATAGTACCAGAAGATGAGCCCCTCAGGTTGGAAGGCATTCAGAATATGACTGTGGAAGAGCAGCTGTCTTCTCAAAGTTGTGTTGGTCTTAATGATGCGGATGGACTAACGCTATTGTAACATTCATTAGCTGATGTGGCATGACTCCAAATGAGAAGAAACAGCTACAAATATCCAGTTAGAGCATGAGATATATAGAATATGAGTCAAGGAAAACTGGAAGTAGTAAAAAATTAAATGGAACACTTGAAGATCAAAATCCTAAGCAATAGTCAACTGAAACTGATCATTTCAACTCAGAAGAACTAACTATGTCCATATGTCTACAAGGTGGATCTGGGTTGAAAGCAAAGAATACTAGAAAGATGTTTTCTTGTACTTACTGACTATGCAAAGATATTTGACTGTATGAATCATAACAAGCTATGGATAACATTTTGAAGAACACTTAATTATGTTAATGCAGAACCTGTACATAGACTAAAAGGCAGTAGTTTGAACAAAACAAGGGGATATCTAATGGTATTAAATCAGGAAAAGTTGCGTACCATGATTACTCAATCTGTATATTGAGCAAGTAATCTGAGAGTCTGATTTTATGAAGCAGAACACAGCAACAGGTTTGGAGGAAAGCTCATTAGCAACCTGAGATATGCAGATGGTGCAACCTTTTTACTGAAAGTAAAGAGGACTTGAAATACTGATAAAGATCAAAGACTACAGCCTTCAGTATGGATTACAACTCAATTTAAAGAAAACAAAGTTCTTCACAGCTGGATCAGTAAAACACACCTTGATAAATGGAGGAAAGATTGAAGTTGTCAAAGATTTAATTTTACTTGGATCCCTAATCAAAGTTGTTATTCAGCACCATCCAGTCAGTTTTCACACAGCGATCCTATATACAACAGAATGAAACACTGCCCGGTTCTGTGCCATCCTCACAATTAGTATGTTTGAATCAATTGTTGCTGCCACCGTGTCAGTCTATCTCGTTGGGGACATTCCTTTTTTTATGTTGGTGACCCTCCACTTTACCACGCATGATGTCCTTCTCCAGAGACAGGTCTCATAAGGAACATTCTGAATGTGCTTCTTCAGCACAGAATAGTTAGTTCTTCTGGCAGTCTGTGGTACTATTAATATTCTTCTCCAGTAGTACCATAATTCAAACGCATTGATTCTTCTTTATCACTCAACTTTCATATGTTCATGCTGTGATTTAAAATACTGTGGCTTGGGCCAGGCTCAACATAATCCTCAACATGGTAACTTTGTTCTTGAACATTTTGAAAGGTCTTTTGCAGCAGATTTGCCTAATGCAAGACATCATTTGATTTCTTTATCATGATGTTCCTTTTTGGTCCAATTGTGAGGATTTTTGTTTTCTTTACATTGAGGAACAATCCATCAGGAAGGCTGTAGTCTTTGATCATCAGTAAGTATTTTAAGTCCTCTTCACTTCCAGCAAGCAAGGTTTTGTCATCTTCAGATTACAAGTTGTTAATGAGTCTTCCTCCAATCTTGATGACACATTCTTCTTCATATAATCCAGCTTCTCAGATTAATTTCTCAATATACAAATTATATGGTGGAAGGATACAACCCTGGCACATACTTACCTTTATTTTAAACCATTCAGTATCCTCTTTTTCTGTTCGAAAGACTGCCTTTTGGTCTATATACAAGTTCCTCATGAGCACAATTATTTGTTCTGGAAAATCCATTCTTCTCAATGTTATCCATAGTTTGTTATGTTCCACACAGTCAATTGCCTTTTGCATAGTCAATAAAGCATAAGTGGACATCTTTCTGGGTTTTTTTGGCATTCAGCAAAGATCCATCTGATGTCAGAAGTGGGTAAGTGCAAAACATTGAATGATACGGGTACAATAAAAATGAGATCACTGTAGCAAAAGAATTGGTCAACATCCAATCATTTAAAAAAAAACAACAACATCTGCTCAAGAACCCATCGCATCAAAGGAAAAATCCTAAGCTTCATTGAAAACAATGGTAAAAAGGCTTCAGGAATTGAGAGAATACCAAATGAGGAGGTGTTTCAACAAGCAGGTGCAATGCTGGAAACACTCATTCATACACATATGCCAAGAAATTTGAATGACAGCTACCCAGCCACTGGACTATAAAAGATCTGTATTTGTCCCCATTCCAAAGAAAGGTGATCCAATAGAATGTGGGAATTTTAAAACACTATCATTAAATCAAATACAAGTAAAATGATGCTGAAGATAATTCAAAAATGGTTGCAGCAGTACATTGATAGAGAACTCTAGAAACTCAAGCAGAATTCAGAACAGAATGTGGAATGAGGGATATCACTTCTGATGTCAGATGAGCCTTGGCCAAAAGTACAGAAAGCCAGAAAATTGTTTACCTGTGCTGTATTGACTATGCAAAGGCACTTGGCTGTGTGGAGCTTAACAAACCATGAATACTATTGTGAAGAATGAGAATTCCAGAAAACTTTACTGTGTTCTAGTGAAACCTGCACATAGACCAAGGGCAATCATTGGAACAGAACAAGGGGACACTGCATACTTTAAAATCTGGACATATGTCCATCAGGGTTATATCCTTTCACCATAATAATCAGCCTGTATGCTGAGCAAATAATCCAAGAAACGACAATATGAAGAAGAATATGGCATCAGAATTGGAGGAAGACTAGAAGACTAACAACCTGTGATATGCAGAAGAAACAACTTTGCTTGCTGAAAGCAAAAAGGACTTGAAGCATTTACTGATGAAGGTAAAAGAGAATAATCTTTAGTATTGGTTACATAACATGGCGTGGCTGTAGTTAAGTGCCATTCTGTGTTGGTTCTGACTCATAACGACCATGCATAGGGTTTCCGAGGATGGATGGTAAGTTGAACTGCGGATCCTGTGGTTCAAACCCACTTTGTGGTCCAGGACTTATCCCACAGTACCATACCAGGACTCCAACATAGTGAAAACAAAATATAGTAAAAACAAAAATCACAACTGGACTAATAAGCAACATTATGATAATAAACAGAGACATTATTGAAGTTGTCAAGGGTTTCATTTGTCTTGGATCTATAATCAGTTCTCATGGAAGCAGCAGTCAAAAAAGTAACTGCATATTTCATTGAGCAAATCTGCTATAAAAAGCCTTTTGTAAATATTAAAAAGCAAACATTTCACCTTGAGGACTAAGGTGTACCTGACCCAACCCATAGTATTTTCAGTCACCTCATATGCCTTAAAAAGCTGGATAAAGAAGGAAAACAGAAAAAGAAGTGATGCTTTTGAATTGTGATGTTTTTGAAGAATATTGAATATACCATGGACTGTCAGAAGAATGAACTAATTTGTCTAGGAAGAAGGACAACTAGAACACTCCTTAGATGCAAGGATAGCAAAACTTCATCTCATATACTTGGGACATTTTATTAGGGGTATCATGCTAGTTAAAGTAGAGAATTAGTGAAAAAGAGGAGGACCCCCAATGATATGGATTGACACAGTGGCAGCAATAATGGGCTCAATCATAGCAACAATTGTGAAGATGGCACAGGACTGGGCAGTTGTGCATTCTGTTGTACATGGGTCACTAGGAGCTGGAATGGACTCAATAGCACCTAACAACAATGACATCATTTTAACAAAGACTTACTACTCCCAAATACCTCAGTCCTAGGAAAGAATTTGGAGATATATTCAACTATAATTTCAATACCACAGCAACAAAAAGATGTCAACAATGTGAATATTTTTGTTGGATATAATATTTTATGGAATTACCTAATCACCACTGCAATAGCTGAAGCAGAATTTGATGATAACTAAATATGCCTGTCTATAATATAAAAATATTATATATAAGGATTGGTGGAAGACTCATTAACAATCTGCGATATGCAGATGATACAACCTTGCTTGCTGAAAATGAAGAGGACTTACAATGGAGAAAAGATTGAAGTTGTCAAAGACTTCATTCTTCTTGGATCAACCATTAACACTCATGGAAGCAGCAGTCAAGAAATCAAACATATCGCATTAGGTAAATCTGCTGCCCAAGACCTTTTTAAAGTGTTGAAGAGCAAAGATGTCAGCTTGAGGACTAAGGTGCGCTTGACCCAAGCAATGGTATTTTCAATATCCTCATATACATGCGAAAGCTGGATAGTGAATAAGGAAGAACATATAAGAATTGTAGCATTTATATTATGGTGTTGAAGGAGAATATCGAAAGTGCCATGGGCTGCCAAAAGAACCAAATGATCTGTGTTGAAAGAAGTGCAGCCAGAGTGCTCCTTGGAGGCCAGGATGGCCAAACTTTGCCTCTCAGTACTTCAGATATATTGTCAGGAGGTACCAGTCACTGGAGTAGGATATCATGTTTGGTAAGGGGGAGGGTCAGAGAAAAAGAGGAAGCCCTCCCAGCAAGATGGATTGGCCAAATAGCAGCATCATTGGGCTCAAATTTGGCCACAATTGTGAGGTTAGCCCAGGACCAGGCAGTGTTCTGTTCTGTTGTGCATAGGGTCGCTGTGAGTTGGTACTGACTCAATGGCACCTAACAGCAATAACATAATTTAAAAATGGGCCCTGGTGTAATGCTTTAGGATAATCACTAAACTGCCAACTGCAAAGTCAGCCATCAAAACCCAGAGCCACCCTCAGAAACACTATACAGAGTTGCTATGAATCAGAACCAACTTCATGGCACACAACAATAACATAATATAAAACATTTTGAAATGGTAGAGGTAGACAGTTTAAACACCTTATTTTTTTATTTTCAGAAATCTGGCACTACTTCCACAGCGTTCTTCTTAAAAGATATGCCGTTGAAAGAAATGGAATCAATGTGATTAGTGGACCAGTATTTGATTACAATTATGATGGACATTTTGATGCTCCAGATGAAATTACAAAGTAAGTACTTAAAATTAAATGGACTTTTTTTGATTATCAGTAGGGTTTCACAAGGGAACTCTCCAATATTTGAAATAAATCTCAGTTTAAAGTTTATATAATGCATTCATATACAGATTGACTCTAGGATCGATCTAAATATTAGGAAAATCTTTATATGGCAAAAATATTAACCAATGGGCAAAAGAAAATGATGGTCATAATAGGTAACTTAAAATTAGCTTTGAACATAGGACCCAATGATAGAGAATTTTAGAGAAATGTTTCGTCAAAAGTTCGCAGAGTGTGTAGACTTTTCCTTTTCCGTCTGTCTTCAACATTGAGACTTTCTCCTTGCCCTTCTTTCAGTGTTTACCATATTACTGTTCACCGTTTAGCAAACACTTAGCACTTCACTATGTGGTAGGTACTTTTCTAGATGGTGGTAAGCCATAGAGTCGGTTCCGACTCACTGCGAACCTGCATAGGGTTTTCGAAGCTGTAAATCTTTATGGGAGCAGAAAGCCTCACCTTTCTCCCATGGAACATCTGTAGTTTTGAACTGCTGACCTTGAGGTTAGCAGTCTGGCTCATAACAACCATGTTCCCAGAGCTCCTTATACTAACATACATTTCATTTGATCCACAAAACAACCCTAAGTTAAGTTCTTTAAGCCTCATTTAGAGATAAGTAAACTGAGGTACAGAGAGGTTTAGTAATGTATGTTCCACAATGATGTTGTAATGATCAATATATCTTGATTGCATGCTTGATCAATTTCAGATTGAAGAAGTTGGTAGAATTCTTCTATTTCATCCTCACTGGCTTTAGTGGTTGGTGTATAAATTTGAATAATAGTGGTATTAACTGGTCTTCCCTGTAGGTACACGGATATTGTCCTATCACAGACAGTGTTGTACCTCATGACTGATCTGGATATGTTCTTTTTGACAATGAATGCAACACCAGTCTTCTTCAATTTGTCATTCCAGGCATAGAAAACCATGTGGTTGTCAGATTCAAAATGGCCAATACCAGTCCATTTCAGCTCACTAATGCCTAAGATATCAATGTTTATGTGTTCCATTTCATTTTTGACAATTTCTAATGTTCCTAGATTCATACTTCATACATTCCATGTTCCAATTATTAATGGATGTTTATAGCTGTTTCTCTTCATTTTGAGTTGTGCCTCACCAGCAAATGAAGGTCCCACAGGCTTTTCTCCCACGAGCTTTACTACATTCACATCATCACGGTCAACTCTACGTTGAGGAGGCAGCTCCTCCCCAGTCACATTTTAAGTGTCTTCCAACCTGAAGAGCTCATTTTCTGGCACTATATCTGAGTGTTTCTCTGCTATTCATAAGGTTTTCAGTGACTAAATATTCGGAAGTAGTTCATCTTCCTAGTCTTTGTCTAGAAGCTCATCTGAAACTTGTCCACCATGGGTGACCCTGCTGGTATTTAAAATACCTATGGCATAGCTTTTAGAATCACAGCAACTCACAAGCCACCACAGTACGACAAACTGACAGACGAGTGGTGGGTTCTACAATAATTTAATGGTAAAACCAGAATCTGAACCCAGGCAGTTTACAGAAGTACATAGCTAGAACTGGAATCTTGGCTCTTTCATTTCCAGCCCTTGTTCTTTCTTGTAGAAAATGCTACTGAGAAGCATGAAGTTACCTAAGCTACTTATATATAACCAAATACTTCATGGGATTTGAATTCTAGTTTGGAGGTTTAGGGTCATGGTTTCATGGGACATCCCAAATAATTGCTATAATGTCTTTATTAGTGTTTCTGTTCCATCTCTTAGCTATTGAGTAGTGCCTGGGGTCTTAAAGCTTGCAAGTGGACTTCCTGTGTACAACCATGGGTCTCTATTCACTGGAACAGTAGAAGAAAGGGGATAGTAAAGAATAGGAGAAGGAAATGGAATTTATGTCTAATTGCTTCCATAAACAAATATGTCTTTTGTCATGATACCAGAAGAACCAGATGGCACCCAGACACCATTCCTGAACATTTTGATCAAAGGTGCTATAGGAGAATCCTGATCAAAAGGGGGAAAATACAGAACAGTATTCTAAATTATAAGAAAATCCAGACTTTTTAGAGCCTTTGAGGTTGGATGAACCTCCACTACCTTGCTCTGAGATAATATGTAAACCTTGAACCAAAAATATACCCTAAAGTCTTCTTTAAAACCAACAATAAATTAGCATATTTAGGAAAGAATGTTTGCCTTGAACATTGTGTTCTTTTGAAGAAGTACCAATTGACAACAGCAACTCAAAAGTTAAGATAGGAAGCCTAGGGTGGGGAAGGGACAATTAGAAAAAGAGACTGAGAATGGTCCTACAATTTTGAAGGATACAAACAATGTCACTGAATGATACATGTAGAAATTTTGAATTGGCGTATGTTTTGCTATGTATACTTTCAACTACAGTAAGAAAACAGAACTATAAAGTCAACAAAACTAGAAAATACTCATACAGGATGCAGAAGACCACACTCTGCTCTTTTCTGTATTCTAACAATATGTGAAAATAATTAAGCTTGAAATTAGACTAGAGGCCTCTGCTATTACATTTAGTTGAAGTCTATAATATGTGTGAAGACTCTGTAGTGCTTATTCATTTAACTATTTTTTTTACCTTGACATTTATTTTAAAATGTATACGCCCAGTTAGAATCTTTAGAAGCAAAAGTATAATAACATCAAAACTTTTCAATTTTATTTGTAGCCATTTAGCCAACACCAGTGTTCCTATCCCAACACATTACTTTGTGGTGCTGACCAGTTGTAAAAACAAGAACCAGACTCCCAACGACTGCCTTGGGGGGTTGGACGTCCTGCCCTTTATCATCCCTCACCGGTCCACCAATGAGGAGAGCTGTCCTGTGAGTATACCTCAGGGGTGTCCTTGGATTCTTCTGAGAAAATTATTACCAGAGCTTCTCTCAGCTTTCATCAACATGGCTGTGACTAAAAATACCTTCTTATAGGTGTTTTATGTGAGAATTGTGCAGAAATGATTTTTGTTTTGAGTTTTTCCTTGGATGATTAATCTCTGTGTAATTAATATCAATTTAAACATGTATAAGCAAACATGAGCGTGTGTTTATTTAGGCATATCTTATGTATTTTATTGGAGTCCTGGTGTGGTGCTGTGGGCTAATGCGTCAGACTGCAAAGTCGTTTGAACTGCAAGGTCGGTGGTTCAAGCTCACCAGCTGTTCCTTGGAAACCCTCTACAGGGTCTCTATGGGTCAGAATTGACTCAACAGCACTTAACAACAACAACATGTATTTTATTGATATACATAATATTTACATTCACTAATAATAAGAGGGATGGTAACTCTTTGATCTATTCTAGGTGTAAACGGAAATTGACTCTAAATTAATGTTTACAGAATGAATATACAAGTATAAAAATTTCATTAATTTGAAATGAAAGGCTCCAAAATGACTCCTAACCTAAATATTGGTGGTTGTAACACACCCAGCTGCTCTGGGGAAGAAAGGTCTGGTGATCTGTTTCTGTAAAGCCTATGTGCCAAGGATTTCTTCTGATTCCCAGGAACCCTACGCGACAGAGATGAACTGTCCCATAGTGTTTCTCAGGCTGAGAGAGAGCATACAGCCAGCTCTTTACTCTCATAGAGTGAGTTCACACCACAGCCTTTCGTTAGCAGGTGAACACTTCAACCATTGCATTCCTTCAGCTCCTTTCTGTGAAGAAAATCCTATGGAGCAGTTCTACTCTGTAACACATGGGGTCAGGAGCTGAAATACACTCGATGGCAATGAGTTTGATATACAGGTTCATAGCTGCAAAATAAGTTGAGGTAACTTATTCTTCTTTTAAACATGTAGTATTACTGTAAAGTACCATCAAATTAATGCTGACTCGTAGCTAATCCTGTATATTATTCCAAGGAGCAGCTGATGGGTTTGACCTGCCAAACTTGCAGTTAGCAGTACTTATTCTACAGCGCACCACCAGAAACCCAAACAAGTATTGTTGTTGTTGTTGTTGTTGTTGTTGTGTGCCGTGGAGTCAGTTCCGACTCATAGCGACCATGTACAGGGTTTAGACCACTTCAAATCTTTTTGGATCAAGGCAAATCATATGTAAATAGTTACTCCAACTTGGTAGAAACTGTTTAGAATGAACTAAGGAGGGCCTCAGGGTCCTTGTACTTAAGGAGTTCATGTACAATGTTATTATATGTATATAAATGAGATAAAAGCACATAAATAGGTCAGAATAATACAAGAATATCTTAATAAATTAAAAAAATAAAAGATGTCTTAAAGTTGAGATTAATTGCTAAATGACATTTTAAGGATTTCATGTTTTGAACTCAAGGTCAGAAGGGCACTTTCTCTTTTCTCTCTCTCTCTTTGAATTTAATGAAATTATATTTAAAAAAAAAATTAGGCAGTCATTTTACATTTAAGGAATCAGAATTTTTTAAAAAAAGATGCAAAAGATGAAATGATGTTAACTAAGTTTACAATTAATTTTGCTCCAGTTTTTATCTGCAATTCATCTCATCCAATTCATCTCATCGTATCTTACTGCAACATACAAATGCATTTACAGCATCCATTACAATCATGAAAATAAATTAAGGAAGTGCACTGATAACAGTGGCCCTCAGAGGAAATTGATTTACTTTCTGTTAAAAACACTGTAGTAATAAACATTACATGATCATGCTACCTAACCAGTTGAGAGAAACTTTGGTCATATACTCATCTTTATAAGTTTTCTGGGAATAAGTTCTAATAAGAATTAAATATTTAAAAGTTGAACTATTCCTTTAACTTTAGCAGGATCTGTTTTTCATTGTTAAGAAAAGCTTTAATAATTTTAAAGCAAAAGCTGTTAAATAAAGTGGAGTCTAGATACCTTAAATGATATTCCTAAATTGAAATTTACAGATAAGTCTTTTGTAAGCAGTGCTCAATAGACCATCCTTTCTACCCTCCCTCCTGCCCTGTTATCTTGTATTGTTTCTTGCAAAACTTTGGTCAGGTGTAGAAATAGATCCAGGCTGATGTTTATGCCGTACAATCGCAACAGCAGTAAAGCCAACTAATGACTTTGGATTTTAAAAATAGAAGGCAATTAAAATGTACTCAGTTATGTTAAGGAAAAGCTTCCACAGGGTAATATTTAAACAGTCACAAAGACTAAGTAAATACTGATATCAAAGTACAAATGACTACAGTGTTAAAATAGATAGTACTACACAAGAGCCTCTTCTAAAATTAAAATAAAGAGCACAAGAGGAGTGAGGATTATTTTCTTCATTTACACAAGAAATTCAGCCTTTGTATTCATTTTTGTTTGTTTGTTTATTTTGACAACTCTTAGATTATCTTATGACATCTGGTGAAGTCCTATTCCAACTTCAGAGAGTGATTTTTCAGGAAATTCTGGATCTTGGTCACATTGGATCACTGTACAATTTCAGAGTAGTGTAATATCACCACCATGTATTGTGGCATGAAGATGTAGCCTGTGTACAGTGCCATCCCCCAAACAGAAACCAGTATAGAATTGAACACAGTCTGCTCCCAGGGTTCCAACTGGTGGAGCACAGTGATGAGCAGATACTCGCATTAGAACCAGGACATCTTCTTTTCAGGCCCACACCAGCATCATTCCAGCCATGTGCTTCATACAGTTAAGTCAATTGTCAATCTCAGAGGGGCATTTTCAATAAAAATTTATAAATAAGGTAGGAATAGGGCCAGGCTCTGAAGGATAGGCAGAATTTGAACTGAATTGAATAGACTAAGAGGGTGGGAAGGATCTTTCTTAAAAGGCATGAATTATGGGGAGGACTTGGTAAATGATTGGATGCTGGAGTCGAAGATGAATTAGACATTTTAAATGTAAGTAGTAAGGAAAAGACAAAAAGAGGGAAGTTAAGAATGAGACCATTTTGGCAGGTAAATAGGATAGTTAAGTTTAGGCATGTCAAGCTTCTGGAAATGGGATGTTGTTCACATGAAAATTAAAGAGACTGGAAATTGAAGCTTAGGTTCTAGGCTTAACTACCCTCATTGTATATACAATGGGAGGTGCAAAGATAAATCAGACATGAATTCTATCAAAAGAGGCTCAAATGTCAGAAGAAAGAGGTGTTGTTGCTATTAAGTGCTGTAGAGTCAGTTCCGACTCATAAGGACCCTGTATAGAGATTCTAAGGAGCGACTGGTGAGCTTGAAGCACTGAGATTGTATAGGGTTTCTGAGACTGTATATCTTTATGGGAACAGAAAGCCTCATCTTTCTCCTCCGGAGCAACTGTTAGATTCTAATTGCTGACCTTGCAGTTATCAGTCCAATTCATAATCCACTGTGCTATCAGGGCTCCTTTGAAGTGCTATTCCACTCCATAATTCCTGATATCTACTCACTACTCCTTTTCTCAGTATTCTCCCCAATTCCAAGGGTTCTGCAGTTTGCTGCCATTTGTTCTAACAGATCTCATGGGCCATTAAGGAAATGACTCACATGGTTGTGGAGTCTGGCAAATCTCAGATCTACAGTTCAGTTGTCTGTCTGGAGGATTCGCCACACTCATAAAGAATCGGGCTGTTGACTCACAGATTATGGAAACTGGCACATCAGGTCAGGCTGTTGACTCAAATTCCAAGAATTGGAGATCAGATGGAAGTGAGCTTGATTAATTAATCAAAAAAGTACACAGTGCTCTCGCATCCCCAAGATGGCTTATTTTATACCCCTGCTACAGTTTCAAGTGTTTACAATCACAGTGAGCTCTGTTAATATCCACAGATGGATCATGTCATCCAAACAGCATCTTTTCCCACCTTCCTTCACCCAGACCCATCAGGGAAAGAGTTGTTTGGTGGGAGTTACAAAGACTAAAGCTAAAGGAGACATATTAGATAATTCACTATACCCCAGATAGTCTTTACCAGACTCAGGGTTTAATAGTTCTTTTACCACAGAGGTTCTAGATAGCCATTATGGATTGATTGGTTTTGGCATGCAAAGAGGAGCCTATTTGTCCTCCCTTGTCTCTACCCTTGTGACCTTCTCTAATAACTCTTGAAAACGAATCTTAAATAACTTCCCTGCTTCTTGTCTCTTCCCCTTCACCTCTGCACACTGCTATCAGCTTACTCATCTTATTATGCCATACCAGCTGGCTCCAAGACTTCTAACCACCCCCTAAAAGTTTGTTTATGTTGTGATGATAGAATTACATTCTAAAGTCAGTTACCTACCCCTGCCATAGGGTTGATTCTGATTCATAGTGAACCCATAGAACAGAGTAGAAGTCTGGGTTTCCAAGGTTGTAAATCTCTATGGAAACAGGCTGACTCATCTTTCTCAAGAAGAGCTGCTAGTAGATTCGAACCTAAGCCAATGCTCACCCCACTGCACTGAAGTCAGTAAATCAAGTAAACTTGTATAAAATCCGCTATAATAAAGTCACCCGGAAAGTATTGTGGTGGTGGTAGTTGTATGCTACTGTATCGGTTCCAACTCATAGCTGAGTTCATAGTGACCCTATATAAGGTTTTTCTGAGGTTGTAAATCTTTACGGGGGCAGAAAATCTCATCTTTCTCCTGTGAAGCAACTGGCAGATTCAAACTACAGACCTTGAAGTTAGTAGCATAGTTCATAATCCACTACACGACCAGGACTCCTTCCCAGAAACTATAGTAAATGCACTAGTCCTGGTATGGTGCCATGGGACAATGCACTGGATCACAAGGTTGGGTAGAACTGTAGGATCAGCAGTTCAAATTTACTAGCTGCTTCTCAGAAATGCTATGCAGGGTCACTATGAGTCAGAACTGACTGAAAGGAACTTAACAGCAACTAGGGCTCCTTCCCAGAAGC